CCCAGAGGAAGCAGGACGGACGAGGATCCACTGACAAGCATTTCCTGTCTCCGCCTGCGTTCTCTCCGATGCGCTTATACTGACTGTGGTGACCATTTCTGATTATCTCATTCAGTTCTCCCACAACAACTCTGGTTTCATGAAGGCCAAGTCATTTGCTCCAGGTCAATAATCAGAAAGTGGAAGATTCTAGTCCAGGTTACTCACCAGCTGAAGCCTATTGCCTTAACCCTTCAATGTACTGCCTAAGTATACACAAGAAAAGAGAACTGAGAGCGTACTCCAGAGAAAGTCTAAATGTTGTAATCTGCAGAAATAGAGTGAAACTCAAAGGCATAGCTGGAATATAAACAGTTGGTTTGTGGTCAATAAGTCAATAATCGAGGGAGGATAGAACAGAGTGTTGCAAAGGTCAGCATTAACTCTCAGCCAGTAGGCATGCAGCAGGCTGCTGTGACCACTCTAGGGAGTGATTCTGGACTGTGGCCAAGATATTAATTAAGCCCTAACCACCAAGGCCCAGGGAACTCCCTAGCAATTAGTAGACAGCTGGGAGACTATGAGACTTAAGGGCATCCTATCTCTTCTAACTAGGAAAACTCCTTGGGACAGGTCTGTGCAAAGGTCATAGTGGGCCCTGGCAGTAGAAGAGTGAGAACATCAATATCTATTTAAAGTGGAAAATGTCTATTCCCTAAACTCCCTCAGCTCTGTCTAGGACAAAAGAATTTCTACATGAGCGTGATTATATAAATTTTCATTTTCAACTTTTCATCCTCTGCCCATACCAAATGGAACGTGATGCCAATAAACACGAAAAAATTCCCAGTGATGAAAAAACTTCATATAAGCCAATCAAACATAGAGTCAGAGGTACTGGTGAAAAGATCTTCCTATAAAGCAATAGAGAGGTTGCAGGTCAGTAGAACTTTCTGGAAAGCAAACTAGTAAAGTGACAATATCAACAAAAATGTAAAATGTATGGCTATTTTGACCCACTAATTCTTCTTCTAGGAATTTATTTCAAAGAAATAATTAGAGACATATTCTAAAGTTCACACACAACAAAAATTTATGGTATCTTTAATAATTCCAAATGTTTGGAAATAATTTAAACAACCACCAAAAAAAGATATTATTTAAATAGATCATGGTGTAACTAGACAGCAGGGTCCTGTTAGTCTACCTCAAGGTTGACAAAAGTCTATATGAGAAACTTCCTCAAGGTTGTCCAGTGACAAAAATACTTCTGTCTATAAAGTTACCCATACATGCGATGAGTGTGCAATCATTGCCCAGTGAAATGCTTAGAATGAACATCACCAAATTATTGGTGCAGACTAGCTCTTGCTGGGTAGTGAGATTTCAGATTTTTTCCTTCCTTTAAAAAAACTATACTATTTGAATTTTTACAATGAATATAGAGTATCTTTATGAAACCAACTATTTGTAAAGAGCAAAAGTAGAGATCTAATGTATATGCAAATTTTATGGAAAAAAAGTATAGCTAAAATCAGAGGAACAACTGATTTCAGAAGGGAAATGGGGAGGGAGTTTGAAATCTCCTATGACCTTGCACAGGCTGATTATTTTTTTCCAGATGGGGAAAGGCGAAAAGGCCCGGTATTAAGAACCTTGTTCCAGGTCAGGCTATGGATTCAAATGTCAGTGCTATCATTTGCCAAGTGAGCAACTTGGGGCAAATTACTTACCCTTCAGCACCTCAGTTTCCTCATTTATAAACTGGAGTAACTGACAGCACCTGCCTCTGAGAGTGTCACCAGGATTTCAGAAGAGAGCAAATAAGAAGCTCCAATCACAGTGCCTGGCACATCATCAATATTCACTAGACACTGGTGCCTATGAAAACCAGCTTCAGACAACCATATCTTGTGTGAGTTAGCGTTCCTGAAATGAAGCACTAATTAACAGTTAAAGAGAAGGCGAAGGCAAGGATTATTAGACAAAGAAATCCCCCAAAAGCAGACATACAAACATCTAAGCTTTGCAGAACAAGGGTGAAAAGTATGGTATCCAGATCCCTACAGCTCACTCTGCAGAATGGTAATCATAGACAGGAAGCCATTTTGAGGACTAAATGTCAAGTGTGGACACAGTACTTGGCAACAGTTCATTTTTAATACATATGTGTCACTGTTAATAAAAACACTTATTTGACTGTAGGACAAGCAGTGTATTCCCTGTCCCTACCGGTATTCAGATAGGATTAATTACTACCTGAGGAAGAGGATACAGACAGAAAGGTCTTAATTATGAAATGAAGGGGTGGACAACTGGATTCTTCGGCACCTGAAAATCCTAAGCAAAGTGTTTGAAACATGGAATACATTTTAACAGCGGGCTTGTTCACGAGTATTGTGCAGAGTGACTGGGGCTTCCAGCACTAGCAGGGCCATCTCCCTAGAAAGTTATGTGATGATCCTCTCAGAGATTAACTCTGCATTCCAAACGGGAGAGGTAAGTGAGGTAGCACCCCCGAATTCTGCTTATTCTGTGTCTTAGGAGTGGCTCTACCTGCGCTTGGATAAGCTGCAGGTAGTTCAGCCACATCTGGGTTTACAGAGCCCCAAGCACAATGCTGCAAGTTATGCTCCCTCTTCCCATAAATAAGAACATCCACACACCCTCTGGCTGGGGGCAGTTACAAGAGCAACTCTGGGAAATTTACATGGCGGCTTACTGCCCGCTAGGCTGTGGGATAAGATTACTGCAGACATTGTCTTGCAGATATCTCATCAGACCCATGAGTTTGGGTACACACTATAAACATTGCCCTCTTTAAAGATGAAAAACACAAAATCCTTCAACCAGTAAAGCCAGAGTCTGAAGCCAGTTCTAGGGAACACTTAGAAAATGGAGGGTAGTTGAAATGGCTGATAACAAGTTGACAACTCATTTGAGTTTCAGATGGATCGGAGTCCCCTTCATGACCTGCCACAGTCTCTCCATCCTAGGAACTCAATGGAATTCTCTAAAGGCAGCTGGGAGTACAGATGAGCAAAGTTGTCATGGGCATTGTCTAGCAATTCCATGGCTGCACCCAACACAGAGGCCCACAAACTACAGTATAGAAAATGCTATCAATAGCCCCTGAATTGGGGGTCAAAGGATCCTTGCTTAAAGCCCCCAGAGGTTTTGATCTGCATGTTAAGGCTGCATGCTGCAGATAGAATACTCTCAATAATATCCAAAACACATGTGAAGTATTAATCCCTCATTTTCTTATAAATCTCTTGATCAACTGGGACTCTGACCTACAGCAAACTTTTTCCCATATTTTACCATGGGAAGGTATTATGGTTTGTGTCTGGATGTCCCCTCAAAGACACATGCAGTCGTGAGGTGGGCTTTTAGAGTTTATGACTGATTCATGGTCCAATGTTGAAATTATGGATGTGAGTGCTATACCTACCCTGGGGTGGGTAGTTTGCATATAATGTAAGGGAGGGAAAGAGGCTACTAGCTATTGCCACTCCTCCCCCTTTTGCTCTTGCTGCTATTGCTGTCTTCTGCTGCCATGAACTGTTACCCTCTGTCATGTGCCACTCTGCCTTGGAGCCAGCTGAGTATGGACTGAAACCTCCATAGGCTGTGAGCTAAATAAATCTTTCCTTCCTTAATTCTCTGTGTCAGGTATTTTGTCTTAGCAATGAGAGAAAAGTAACCAAGACACAAGGCATCTCTCAGATGGACAGGGATCCTTAAATCTTGTTCTTAAATCACTGATGTTATTTGTCAATGTACCAGGCTGAATCCAAAGCAGGTAGAGACCAAACCTTCTAGGTTCAAATTCCAGCTCCTCCACTGAGCTAGCTGAACCTCTCTGTGCCTGTATTCCTCATGGACACAAGAAAGACAGTGACACCTCATAGATTTGTTGTGAGGTGATGTCATATTGCAAAGCCTTTGGGGTGTAGGGGTTAAGAGCCCAGGCTCTGCGCCAAACTGTTTAGGTTCAGCTTTAACTCTATCACTAGCTGGGTATCTTTGGGTACACGACTTAACTTTTCTGGGCCTCAGCTTCTTCAAATATAAAATGGAGACAATGACAGAATCCATTTCTCCAGAGGAATTTTGTGATGAATGAGTGAAGGCTTAGAAAGTGCTTAGAACAGCACCTGTCACATTAGTCAGTACCCAGTAAATGTGAGTTGTTATGATTAATGTGTATAAAGCCCTCAGCATGTTCAATAAATGGTGGTTGTTATTGTTACAAGGTACAGGTTCCTCAGAGGATTTCATGCACATTTATCTCTTGAAAAGCAATAAAAATGAAGATGTTAGGCGAAAATCTTGTCCTTAAGTAAATGTCATAGTCATATCAGGGAGAAGCCCAGGTCCTATTGCCCCTGCAGGACATCCAGGGCCTCTGCCTCCCCAGCCCATGCTCAGGCCCTCCTTTTCTTCCAGAGAATTTGCCTTTCACTCAGCCCTCCAATCTTCAACAAATGCTCACTGAGAACCTATAGTGGCCAGACAAGCTATAGGTATTTCAAGCCTATAGTGGGAATACCTAAGCAGTGACTAGTTGGCTCCAGCCCCATGCTCCTGGAGTTTACAGGGTAGGGGGGCAATACACATTAAATAAATATATATTCAAGAGATTATGTGAGGACAGGTACAATTTGTGTCATAAAGGATGTGATAAGAATGCAAAATGAGAGTCCTGATGTTCTCTAGCTCTGGTGATGTGGATGAGGATAGGATCATTGAAAGGATCCTTCAGGAAATGATGTCTACAATGGGGCCTTATAAATGACTAGGAGTTGGCTGGGTAATGACTTGGAAGGGAAGAAGGAAAGGACCCAGATGGGCATTTTGTTTCAGGACCCATTACCCACAAGTGGCCACCTCCCTAGGAGTACAGAGAGAAGGGCAGTATGGCTGCCGTGTTCCTAGGCCTTCCCACTCAGAAACACTCATCTAGGAGGCTGGAATTTGGTGACTCTGATCTCTTCCTTTCCAGCTTCTCCTCCCTGCTTGCAAAGACTACCTGCTCTCAGATGCTATGCCACAGACCAAGTGAACACTGTTCTTGACTCCACATCCCAGAAGCTGCAGACATGGCTCACTTTGCTCACATGTGAATTTCAGCCAAGACACCATGTCAAGGAACTCTGCCCTCTGAATTGCTCTGATGCCTCAGTCCTGTCCTGGTCATACCCTACTGGGTTTTGTGAGGCTATTTAAGAAGACAAGTTTCCCTCACCACAGTATAGGGGAATAGCATGAAAGAAAATAATGGCCCCCAAGGAAGAATTTGTGATTGACATAAATGAGGATGTTCCCTTAGGAGCATCATGTATCATTGCAGAAGCAAACTCCAAGGTCATTTATTTCTCCACCTATTTACACGCTATGGAAAGAAGATGTCTTTGACTTTCCCATAGTTTTGCATTGGAAATTGCTGCTGTGAGAAAGGAAGGGGTATGTTCTAGACAGCAGGATTCTTTTGGAATACATACTTTGGGAGTGTGGCACTACCCCGCAAATAGAACTTTGATTGTCTTTTTCTTTGAGGTAGCAAATTTCTTCTGGGATCAAACCTGCCTCACCTAACCTGCCCTGATAAACACCCCCCATCTCTCTTGGTAGATCAGATGTTTAATAGTTAGCCTAACTCACTGTTTATCTAGTAGCAATTATGACTGCAGTGGAATAATATTTTAACTGCAGGGGATATATTTCAGAGAGTGCCCAAGTGGAATCTACAGGCTGGGAATGGCTGTCAGGGCTTCCTATATTAAGAGGAGTGGACCACTCCATCCTGGCTGGCAGTTCTTCTGCTCTGAGATGCCATCAATAGATGCTACTCCAAACACCTAAGGGAGATGTTCCCAAGAGAAGTATATGGTTCTATTCCTTTCCACTGAGGCTCAATGGCCCAGCAAAGTATGAAAGTGAGACCTGTGCTCTTAAAGCGGAACAGTCTCGAGTCGGTGGAGCTTGTGAAACAACACCACCACCGCAGGAGCAAATCCCAGCAAGTGAGATTCAAGGAAGATGGGACCACTAAGAATCAAACTGGCCTAGCTGAGGTTGATAACCAAACTCCCGAAGACCCGACTGAGATGGGGAAGACGCAAGCATCCAGGCACCATCATCCTCCCACCTACTCTCTGTCCTTTCCCCGAGCCCAGAAGGCAGGGGGCTTTCGGAACATTGCAATCCAAACCTCCCCCAGTCTCAGGAAGCATTTCCCAGTTTTCAGAAGGAAGAAACTCACCTCCAGCAAGTCCCTAGTGGAAATGCCGACAGCTTCCCAAAGTGCCATCCAGGTCAACGGCAACTTCTCTGAACAGGACATGGTGTCTTCTGACCTTGCCTACTTACGGCTGGCTCAGCCCCTTGAGGATGGCCCTCGAAGGGTCAAAGTATCCCACCCATTTCTCCCTAGGTTGCCCAAGTTGCAAAGCAATGGGCCTGTTAGTATATGCTTGGAAGCTGGGACTTGGAGGGGTTCTGAGAAAGCAACAGCTGCCATTCAGGTCCCAGAAGATATCTATCACAGTCCTTCCTGGGAAGCTAGAGAGTCCACTCTCAACCCAGATAGGTTGGCTGAAATAAGGAACTCAGTACCCCCTTTGATTGACATGTGTCCAGGTGATAGGAAAAAGGTACTGAGATCGGATTCAGAAAGATCCCCCTCCTGCTTAAATGCCGCCAGTGGTGCCAACAACATGCCAGGCACAGGGAAACTCAAACCTGAATTGCTTTTGCCCAAAGACAACTCTAATGACAAAGGTTTTGGCCCACTGTCATCTCAGTCAAAGGAAGCATGCATTCCCTCACCTCCACGGACTCAGAGTTCCACTGCACCAGGGTTCCACATCCAGACAGCTCCTTCAGGAAGAGCCTCAGACTATCCTGCATCAAGTGACAGTCACCAGAATCCAGTGTCACTCAAAAGTAGTGCATCAAAGTCTGCCCCTTTGTGTCAAGAGAAGATGGCAAGGAACCCCACTCAGTCAGACACTCTTGAGCCTCAGAATTGTCCTGGAAGCAGTCACCTCTCACCCTCTCTTCCAAGGAGTGAGACTGAAATTCCGAGCAACAGGGAGATTAGCGGCATTAATCAGCTTCACTTGGCACAGGGTGAACTCTGTGACCTCCAAGGCCGGCTGCAGTCTGTGGAAGAATCTCTGCACTCAAACCAAGAGAAAATCAAAGTCCTTTTGAATGTAATTCAAGACTTGGAGAAAGCTCGAGCTCTCACTGAAGGGTAAGGTAAATTTTTTTTTTTTACTAAAAACTTCCGAGTAGTCATTTGCCAGCACCAGGCAGAGAGCAAGAGCACTGGTTTCCATGAACACATTGTTGCCAAAATGTTTGAAGTTCATTGTTTCTTCAGATCAGAACTCACATTTTCCCTTTACTCTGATTGGATTTCATTTCATTCTAGGCTTTGATGGGCTTGGGGTGGTGTAATAATCAACTTTGCATTTTTGTGACCAAATCCTCATACACACAACTTAATGGATAAAATGTTTATTTTTGACTCATGGTTTTCAGAGTTGGCTGGTCCCAAGGTGTGAACATTATGGAAGAACATGGTAGAGGGAAGCTCCTCAACTCTAGCAGCCAGGAGGCAGAGATACAGGGAAGGATCCATAGAGGTTCTTAAGACAAAGTGCTTAAGGTCACACCCTCATGACCCACCAGACACACACGGAAGCATGCTCTATTCACCTACTAGCATCTCTCAAGCCAATCAAACTGACAATCAAGCTTAACTATCACAGGTGGATTTCTATGCAGATTTTTTTGCTTTTGTTTTCAGGTGTCAACAGACTGGGGATGGGGAATAATGAAGTTGAAAAATCGAAGATAATCTTTACAAGGTTGAGGGTCCAGTTGATAAATGATGGGAGAAAATAACAGCAGGCGGGCATATCCCCTACCGCATCCTCTTAGTGAGTTCCTGAATTTGCACAGTACATCTGTTAGTGCTGCTCTGTCCATCACAAAGGCCTTGACCTGGTTACTAAACTTCCTGCTGACCACCCCCTCCACTGACCACTTTGATGACCAGTGCCAGTCCCTCACTGACAAACTCAGTGGGAACTGAAATGACATCACAATGACGTCTACACAGAGGGAAATGACATCACAAATGATGTCTGCACAGAGGGAAAACTCACAAAATGCTGTCCTGAGTGACTCAGCACCCATGTGGGAGGAGCAGGCAGTGAGTTGTGCAGGTGTAGATGCCTGTTCCTTCAGAAGTCACTCTCTAAAGATCAAGAAGAACCCATGGCGAAAGCTCACCAGAAAGGGTCAGAGAAAGAAGTAACCACCTGACATTTGCCTTTAGGTGTCAGGATCCATATCACCTTGGAGAAGAGGACACTGTGATGATACAGAAAGAAATGAACTGAACCAAGGGGTCAGGGATTTTAATAATCATCCTCTGCTCACTTACAAAATTCATCTTGCATGATTGCTGTAAGCAGGAAAACCCTTCAGATCTGAAGTGTTTAAATGTATACAAAGCCCTGTTGGAATATGAGGTTTCTTTGCTTGTAACGGTCATGCAACTTCAGGGCATCATAAGTGCTATGCTGTAGGGACTAAGGGATGGGTTGGTGGAATGCATTAGTCTCATATGACTTTTGCCCATAGAGTTATTCAGTAAATGTTCTATCTTGCAGGCGCAACTTTTATCGAACTGGCCAAGATCTCAACAATTGCAGTACCTGCCAGAACACAGCGTGCATCATATACAGGTACCTGGCCAAGACTGAGGCTTCCTTGGCAGAGCGTACAAGCTGCAGGGTCTACTGAACACTCTAGTAAACTCCCTTAAAAGTAAGAAGTCAAGAGAGAGGAAAAGGTGAAATCTGAAACTTAAAACAGATGGTATTTAACTATGAAATAGTAACATTCAGTTCCTAGACATGGATTGGTTTGTTTCTTTATGTTTGGTCCATGAGCAAATCCTTTGGATGTAACTAAAATCTTACAGTTATAGAACTCTGGATGCAGGCACTGTGGTTGGCTCTGCATGCATACAGTATTTGTGTCCTATATTGTGAGGTGTGTGTTCCAATCCTCAGAGAAGTTGAGCCATCGGTCCAGGTCATGTATCGTATTGCCTTGAGAGCAGAAGGGGCCAGACTCAGGACTCACATTCAGATTTTCCTAGTTCCAAAGAGGTGATCAGTTACTCCACTGCCTTCCCTCTCTCTCCATAGTAGCTCCTCTATGCCAAACACTATATGTCAAAAACTGTGCTAAGTACTCTGTATTCGTTTCTATATACACCATTTCCTTCCAGCATGAGTCAAGTGTGTTATAACAGAGTAGATTTTATGACTGACAGCTGGGAAATGCATATAGTAGTAAAGACACCAAGCTGAGAGTCAAAAGGTCTACACTTGAACCTCCACCTCTAATGTCAGTTAGCTTGACCTGGCTCAGTTTCCTTATCTGTAGAGTGGTAACAGTAATCCCTATTCAGAGTTGCCATAAGGGCCAAGTGAGATAATATGTGTGAATGCTTTTTGTAAGTGCAAACCTCTGCCCAGATCCAAAGGGTCATTACTGTTATTACCAGAAAGATCAATGCCTCCTCAGCTGAAAGCCCGCTTTGGGTGGCATGGTGGAAAAGTGGTCAAAAGCAGTTGTTTCGGTTGATGACATCTAATTTTGTCTGACAAAAGTTTATGGTTTTGCTTTCTGCATTACTTTTCTCTTTTCAGTGAGAGTGGCAGCTCAGGGGCTGAGAAAATTGAAGTCCAATTGGGTTGCCTACGTCTTCTTTCAGGAATTTCTCATTCTTTCTGGCAGCATCCTGAGATTTCTCCTAATAAATCATACGCCTAGAAGTCAGGAGGTGCTTATACTTAGGCAGGGTCTTGGGTGTCTCCTCATCAAAACTGTCAGATCCTTACAAGGAGGAACCACAGGGTCACATGTTTTCACAAATGAGAGAAGACTCATGACTGCTCACTCTTCTCCCCCAACATGCACACAAATGCCTTTCATCTCAATGAGAAGTCACCCCTCAGAAAAGGGAGCTGAGGGAAATTTTGCAGCAAGGGAAAGTATCAGTAGGCAGTCTCACCCACTGCTATCTTTTTTCCCCTCTTATCTTATGTCTCTCTTAGGCAAATTCTCTAATCACTAAGAGGACAAAAATTGTTAAATATCTACACAGATAGGAAAGACAAAAAAGTACTTATCATAAGCAGGAAGAATTGATTTGAACTAACCCCCAGTGAAATTGAGGATAGTATTTCTTCAGGAGCCAGATGACATCTTTTCTATTACTATAAAATGTTCTTTGATTTGGTTTATGTAAGTCAAAGAGGCAGGTAGCTATCTCCCAATTTCCCTTGTGTTTCATGACTTGGTCTTGAGCAAGTCATTTCTGGCCTTTGAGCTTTTTTCATTTGGAAAATGACAGCCTTGAATTAGATGGTCCCAATCTAGCTGGGACATTCTGTTATTCCAAGCTGAATTAAAAGTGACAATATTTAGTTAAACTGTGACCTTCCAACAAGTCTGAGAATGTTTGCTTTTCTTTTCTTTTCTTTTTTTTTTGTACTTACTACAAATATCCCAAAGAAACATTCTAAATTAAGTTACACTCCTGGATTGGATAGCAAATCTTCATACACACCTCCTTTTTAAAAGAACATACATTGTTTGCACACATCCCTCATTGCCATTCAAAGCCAGGCTGTTCTCATAGACAGTATACACGTCCCTGTATCCAAACCACTGCAAAGGAATGGGCAATTAATTTGATGAAAGCAAAGAGATCAGAACAACCTCCCCATCATAGCAATGGTAAGAAAATGAGAGTTGTCATTTTTTAAAAAAAAATTTCAAGTGACTGCAAACTTGTGTTATGTCCTGGAAAGTCAGATCTTAGAAGCTAATGAATAAGTGATGTGAAATGCTCATCCGGAGGCCTTGTTAAGCCACAGTGTCTCTCCCTGATGATGGATGGGCCAAGTGCACGTCACTGTACATAAAACACATGGGCGCATGATGGATTGCCCACTGGGCTTTCTTCTCTGGAGATCTTGCTGCTAACTTAGCAACACATACGATTTCCTAAGTGGATTTCCCACAGGTCCCATCAACCAAAGGCTGTGGCTCTGCTCTTTGCTCCTATCAAGACAGGTGAGGTCATCTGTTTCTATGCAACTCATTCCCTCTGCTCCCCACATCACCAAGGAGCAAAGCACCAACACAGATGCTGAAGGTCCCCAGCATGACTCCCCAGAACTTCTGGGGATCTCATGCAACAGGGAGAAAGACTCCTTTGACTTTCTATTCATTTGCATTTTTAAAAACTGAGCTCCAAGAGAGAGGAGTAGGAATGGGCTCTAATTTTTATGCCGGTTCCCAGCTATATAGTCTCCACTCGCTTTCCTCACCTCTTCCCCAGCCGCCCCCCGGTACTGGGAATTGAACTCACGACCTTGTGCATGCTAGGCAGGTGCTGTGCAGCTGAGCTAAATCCCCAGCCCCTCCTCACCTCTCCTTAGCTTTAATCCTAGGGTAATCTATCCCAAGGGCTGAGTCATGGTACCCAAGATTAAATAGTATTGAATTACTTAGTGGGAAACTTGTTCTCTTTTCAGATTTATTTCAATCCTTCTGATTACCTGGAGGGGGAAATTTGTGTTCAGTGCTAGAATGTCTTTAAATTTTTTCTAATGCTTGCATATCACATTTCTTTGCAAAGAGAAAGCAGGTCTCAGGTTCCTAGCCCAGGGCAAGCAAAAATATCTAGCCAGAATACAATAATTTCTAATTTCTTAATGGAAACTTTTAACTTTTAAAACTAATCCTCTTAAATATTTATGATAAGGGATGCAGGGCTCCATCTCAAATAGCTGTTGTTTAGGTTTAAAATGTAAATTGATTCAGAGGAAAAAAAAATGGTTAAGTAAATAATTGGGCAGATGGTACATGAAACCTTATAAAAACCATGAAGGTGGTAAACCACCGATTGGAGTTTGGGAAACAGTGCCCTCAGGGACTGACTCTTTTACTCCTTCTCGCTGGCATAAGGTCTCTCCAAGCACACCCCGTCCTTCTCCCACCCTGTTCTCTGCTCCTCCAGCCATATCTCCCTGCATTTCATCATTTCATCTTCATAATCATTCTAAAAATAGTCAGCAGAGCCTCTTTGCAGTATTTGAACTGCATAGTTCACACATTTCTTTTCTGGATATAGTTCCCGGGAAACATCTACTTGATTTAAACTGTACGATGTTTCTAATGTCTTAAGGGAAAATAATAGAAGATCTATTCCAGAAAAAATTTCATCTACCATTCAAGAATATTACTTTAAAAATAGAAATGAAGAAGAAGCTGCAAGCGCATAATTTTCAATAGGAGAAGGAGAGGTTGTCCGTATAAAGTTTGAAAGATGCTAGAGCAGAGAGAGAAACAGAACAATTGTTTGTGTGGGTCTACTCGAACAAGCTATTCCTGCTCTCATCCTTAGCCTCTTCCTGTTGTTTCCGAGGCCTTCCTGTGGCTTTACTTTCCCTTATTCTTCCCTAAGATGTGGGAAGATACATACATACACACACACACACACACACACACACACATACACACACACACACACACACATACACACACACAATTTTCAGCTAACCACAGACTTCCACTTAATATCTGTATTAGTCAGTTTCATGTCACTGCCGTAAAATACCAGGTATAATTTTACATGCCTATATCTGGTAATCTGAACAACTACTTTGGAGATAACAATATACAATGTAACAAAATTATTAATTTCCTATCACCTTGTTTTGAAATTTTGTATCATTTTTATTATGTTTGTTTCTTTTTTCTTTTATTCTCTTATAATAAAAAAAGAAAAATATACCAGGTACAACTGACATATAAAAAGAGAAGGTTTACTTAACCATGATTCTGGAAGTTTCAGTCTAAGATGCAGCAGCTCATTGCTTTAGGCCTCTGGTTAGAGCAGAAGCACATCATGGCAGAAGCACATGGGAGAGCAATTTACTTACATCATGAATTAGGAGGCAGATTAAGATGGAGAGACTAGGGTTTGTAAATCTCTTTAGGGCACACCCCAATGACCTAAGTACCTCCCATAAAGTTCCACCTCCTAAATGTCCATAGCACCTCCCACCAACACCCTCACCCATCAGGGGATCAGTACTTTAACACATGAACCTTTGGGGATACTCATCCAAACTATAGCAATTTTCTAAGGTACTCACAATTTACCAAATCTCAAAATATATACTTCATTTTCACCTACAAAATTGTTTCCTTTCCCATATTCCTTATTTCATTCGACACCAACGACCAGGCAGTGACTCTGTAAAAACGCTGCAGTCCCCACTCACAACACATATCAAGGTGACTACCATTCTACTTGCTGTATCTAGCTTCTTCATTCCAGCTTCTTTGCTATGGCTCAAGAAATACTCTCATCATTTGTCATCTGAATGCTGGATGACCTTTTGGTTACAGGTCACTTTGTCCTATCCCAAATAATTTTCCTTGAGATTGCTAAATTACACCTGAAAAAACAGTTGGGCCATATCACTCCCACAGTAAACAGTTTTGCCCTGGTTCCGGTTGTTTCTTTCTCCAAAGCCCTTTGAATGCAATGCTCAAGCCATTTTACCTGCTACATCTGCAGTTCTTCTCTTGTCCCAGGGAACTACTCAACTAGAAGGTCCTTCAAGACTCAGTATATTTGTATGAATTTTCACGC